CGTTCTGCCCTCTCGCTCCTTCGCACGCTTACGCGCGCTATACCGCCCGCTCGCAGCGGTGTCCCACGCGAGTGAGCGAGTAAGCGAGCGAACGAGCCTGACACCGGTTTCACCCTGTAGCTGCTCCCAACCGACTAACCAAGCAACCTAGGCGAAAATAATTCCACCTTTATCACGAAGGCACCGCGCAAAACGCGCAACCTACCTGCGGCCGTTCGTGCGGTTGGTGGATATTCCGCACGTCGGAGCCGGCCGCTTCTGTCCGCCTGACAATGAAGGCAGAATTATTACAAGGCTGAGCGTCTTGAGCCGCTTTCTCCCAGCGCCTGGCAAGCGTGAGAAACTTGAGAGAATTTTAGATCGGGATTCTGAAACTTCTGAAAGACTCGCGCTGTAGAAATGTCTTTCCGTAAGTCCAGCGGGAGGTTTTGACCGTTTTATCGGCATCTCCGACCCGCTGCGCGCGACGTCGAGAAACTACGTTTTTGCGCGCCTATTGTTCCGCGAAAACCATTAATTTTGTTATCGAGTTGCGATACTTTTTCAGACAGCCGTAAGAACGCGCCGTTGAATGTACAGAGTACCTACGAAATGAATAGCCGGCTTGAGAAGGTATATTTTTTCATCAACGTCAGATCGAGCGCCTTTCTCCGTGATTTCTCAATCTCGTGAAATTAAATGTCTCGATTAGCAAGCTTCGAATAATCATTTTGTTCAACTGCACTTGATATTAAGTAGAAAAGTAAAGAGAACTGGAAATTCGCTATGTATTTGTGTCTGTGAAGCTTTGGAAAAATCCATGTCGAGCGGTAACGCAACATTCTTTATTCTAATCGCAACCCTCGTTAACGCTGGTTTTTTTTCTGAATCAAGTGACTATATCTCTGCAAGAGCTATGAGAAATTTGTTTGCCCAATGAAAGGCGTCTGTAATGGAGTTCGAAAACAGGAGCAAGTCGATAGCGGCGGTAGTTTCAGTGGAAATCGCACGACGAAGAGTTACTGGGACAGCCGGACTATACATATGCCGTTGTCCCCCCGCTGGTTCGGAACCTGCGTTAAAGTGTAGATCGTAGATTAATGGCAACAGTAGACCACGTTTGTGGATAGGGGAGGGGAAACGGAGGGGAATGAAACCATTTATAGAGCGCATTCCCGTATTTTTAAAGGAGCCGTACGGCTTGCTGCCGGTTTTGGATCTTTATTACGGCAACTATTGGTCCATAAATTTGTGAAACTATTCAACCACAGTTCTACTTTATTAGACCGTTACGTTTTTATGATTTTCTCCCAAGAGCGGCTCTCAAGTTTGTAAAACACGACGTGCCGGAATAGTCACGTGAAGAAGAGGGCGATGTAAGAAATCTTTAAAAAGTTTGACAGATGCGGAGCAATTTTATTGACATTGAATTGAACGTTGCGTTAATTAAAAGTTACAGTTAGATGTCTAAATTTAGCGCAAAATGTGCAGCGGGAAGAGGGACGTTTGTCTTGGCGCAGAATTAGCTTCGCAAGTGCAATTTTCCTCCGTTCTAACGGGGGTGATAACACGTCCCATCATATATGATGGAAGATTCATGAAGGTCTCATTGTTACATGGCGAGGAGAGGCTGTTACCGTCGTCGGTTCGTTCATCCCGCATCCGCGCCAAGTAGGCGAGCGAACTTTTATCACTGTCGAGGAGCGGAATGCCCGTTTCTAAGTTCTACGCGCATAAGGTCTAGATTCTATGGCACGAATTATACGCTATTTGGGCCAGCGTCGCTCGCGTGCTCCGCTTGTTTCGCTGTGTCGTCGAAAGAGAAGCCAATCCGTTCTGCCGCGAGTCACGAAAACGACGCGGATCTACGAATATCGCATGACAAATTGCGCCTTTTTGCGGTACTTTTTGCATATTGTTTTACGGCCGCGTTACGACGACGTCACCGTTATTTGCAAAATAATATCTAGCTTTTTCCAATAACCTATATAAAAATATAAAAATAACGCAACGCCAGACACTTTTCTATAGAATTGAATGCTCCGAAGAGCGCGCGGTAGGATTTCTTTTATCACACGACCGCGTGCATTCGCAGAAAAGTGGTTTTCGTTAACACATTCTACGTTATTTAAATTAAAAATTTGCATTGTATATTAACGCGTCTCGGCGTGCAATTTTTTTTCCGTTGATACTCGCACTCTCTTGCTCTCAATGGAAAAGTGTCAAGCCGTACGGGGGATACATAAAATATTTGTTCCGTATATAATGCAACAGATCTACGTGGCATTCTCATTGACTTGAAAATGCCACGTGAAAACCGACGGGAATACATTACACGTCGGATGCGAGCCGCAGCGAACGGGAAAGGATAGATCGAGTTCAGTTATGCGAAACTAATAATGCCGCGTGCCTGTCCGGCGTTCGCTTGAAACCGCGTTGTGCCGTTCCTTGCACAACTACGTGCTTCCGCAGCGAAGTCGATATATCGCCGGACTTATGATACACCAACAAATATGGTCGAAACTCGCTTTTATCCGTAAGGCAGCAGTGACTCACGTATGAATTAAAGCTGCGCGGCGTGTGATGACTCATACGCGCGTGTGTGTCTCCTCCCTTCGGTGCGATAAATCAAGATATACGTCCTCGAAACTGGAACGTACTCTCTCGATCGAGGATTGAACTCGATATAATTTCGGCGCGTTGAATTTTCGACACTGCGGATGTCCGAGGAAAAGAGGGAAATAAAAGCGACGGGTAATCCCGTTGGCAATTTATCGAGGAGCACAATATTTATTTATAAGTGCGCAGCTCCATCGAACTGAGATTTCGCCCCCAAGAAGAAGTGGAATTTCAAACGGCGCGACTACGAACTGAAATATTCTTGTTTACTCGCTACTTCTCAAACTGAATTCGCAATTCTCTTATGTGCGAATCCAAGCGCATAACGCTTCTTCTACGCGAGTCTTGAGAGCGGACTGAGCTGGCAGCTCCGTCGGCGTCGGTCTATGGAATTTTCATAAGTCCCGTGCGGGAAAAGTGGTGTTAATTAAAAGCGTAAAGTTCATCGCGCCCGACGAGACTTCGCTTACACATCGGAGTTACTGCATAACAATAAATTCGGCGCGGAAAGTTCGCGACGGAGGTTGGTTCGTTGGCTGTGCATAACGACGCGACCGGTAATAACTCGAGTTTCAGAATAATTGTTTGCTCGCGAATTCTGCGAGAAGAAGAAATTTCCGGTTTTGCCGCGGCGTGGTACGTACACACGCCAACTACTATGAAATGAAAGAAATTCGTGGGTGCACGGACGGAGAATTGTCGCCGTAAGTAGGGATGATTAACTCTCTTAGTGGCTGCAATTTTCGCGAAAACGCTCTTTGAAACTGCTGTTTTGTGTGAGAACGCCGAGGTCCGGAAAAAAATCTACAAAAGTAGTTTCTCTCCTAAACTCGCTAGATTTTACAAAAATAAATGCGAGGAAACCTTGCGGAGAAAATTGTTTATAGATAAATTGTTTTGCTGTTTTGTTTTTCCTGTTTTCTCTCTTCCTTTTCTCGTTGTTTGAAATTTTGATCAATAATAAAGTTTGAGGTAATTAAGCTGGAATGCGTGACGTCATGTTTTAATTCTGTGACTGAGAAATTCCAATGTCCGCGGGTGGCGGAAATTACGAAGTACGGAAACACAAGTAACTCCGGAATCAGTAGGTATGTGGTTGTCGAACGGAATGGTAGCTTCATTCCACGTCATATTATATTTTGTATCTCCTTTCTTTTACGTGAATGTAAAATTAAACACACAATCTTTGGAAAATTATTTAAAAATGAAGAACTACGCATATAAATATCAGTTCAGCGGAATGTTAAAATAATAGATAATCGATATCGAAATAATTATAGATATCAGAATGTTAATAATAATATTAGTACAATTAGCAAAAACATATTAATACCTTTTGCATTCGTTAATATCGTTAAGAATTCTTCGTTTGATATATTCCGATCGTTTTGCCGTCGTTCAAAAATTTTAGGAATCCGCGTAAAATACTTTCGAAATAAATGGCGATGTCGAAGCTTACATTGCAATAACGCTGCAATACATTGCAGCTCTCGATATCTTTACATAGCGAATAACTCTGGACGCGCGAGGAAAGTCAGCCAGCGGCTCGTCCGAGCATATTACAGTCTGCGTATTTCACCCCGTGTACACCACTGACCTCACGCCAGAACGCCCCCACACGCGGTACTCCAGCTCTTTTCAACACTGCGGCGTATCAAGTATAACACTTTCGCGGTGCCGCGGGCACGAGTGCCGGGCTTGCTCGAGTGGCGCGTTGTTCTCGCGCGAGTACGACCTCGTTAGAGCAAACGAAAGAGATTTTTCATCTGTATATGAAGAGTGGCTCGAAAACCGCAACGGTGCACATTTCGATGATGGCCCATTTAGATTGTTCGAAAGCAACTTTTCTTCGCCGACAATTTTAACATATTATATATTATGTATGTTAAATATGATATAAGATATGAATCTATCTCGACGAGGGTATGTATATTAAAGTCTCGTTAAAGCAAGATCAAACCTGAACCAAACAAAACTCTTGCTATTTTTTTTTCTTTTTAGATATATCAGGCTCAATCCAAAATGGGTTTTATATTTTAATCAGATCGACTTATGATTATTGCAAAATGTCAGAAATTGAAATAGAATGGAACGAAAGATTAATCCGAAATTGATTATCGATTCCAATTACGATATCGCACTGTGTGCATCGAGAATTACTGCAATTTTGAAATGCCTGGAAATAGTTGCTTGTTTTTTTAGCAATAATAAGCACTCGTTATCAGCAGGTATATCAATTTCCGTCCACGCGAAGATAACTTTATACTTGCAAGCCGCACTGAACTTTTCTTGTTTAAGTAACATTATTTTTTTTTTTTTTGCACAATTGTAACACAGAGCGTATAAAAACACTCGGAGACGTCGCTCACGCATCTAATTCTAATTTTTCTCTGTATCCGTAGAATGGACATCCTGTTGCGAGACATGAACGCGCCGTGGCGATGACAAGTCTGATCTTGGAGAACGCCGACTTGAATCGACTCTTTCCGAAATGCCGGCCTAGGGGCGGTCCACCCCCGGCCCCGGGGGCCTCCACGCAGAGCAGCCAGCAGCCGCATGACAGCCCCTGCCAGACGGAGGCCGCTGCTATCACCACCGCCACCGCCGCGACCGCCGCAACAGCCGCTGTCACCATCGCCTCTACGAACACGTCGACAAGCGTCTCCGCGATATCGGACGACATGATCGACCTCGAGCGCGACACCTCCGACAGGCAAGTTAAACCGATTTATCGGGCGAAGCGAGGGCGATTGGGTTAATCTGGATACTCCGAAAGAAAGGGGAAGGAAAGGAGAAGAAGCCGATGGACGATGATACCTTTCTTTTGACAATTTAGGCTCAATATTTCCGGCGATAATAGACGATCTAGCGCGCAGAGCATTATTAAGGAAAATTGGCTTTGATACTTTCAGCATGTATTTGATAAAACAGTACAGAGTATAGAAAGCGGAACAGTAACATAATTGTAGCTCCTAACAGTAATTTCATTCTACCATTCTTTTATGTCTTTACAACGAGCGAAATTGTTACGGACGTAATGTGAATATGTGTAAAAATTTCATTCGCATTTTCATTATTCTGCCTAACATTAAATATGGATTATGAGATGGCTAATTGCTTAATTGAGAGGAGCTGGATGGAGCACAGCCGTACTAAAAATGCATAGCTGTATTTAAAAAATAATTTATTAGAAAATGTGTTGCATATATATCTTTTGTGTAATTCACGCGCCATTTAGAGACGATTTAAAATATTTGCTGGAAAAGGGGCGAAATCGTGCTGCATTCGTGTTCCCTCAAACAGTGACAGTGCACGTGCTATCAATCTTCGTTATAAGCAATGGTTCGAGAATTGTGCCGCTTATTTTTATTTATTTTTTTTTTAATTATACTTTTTTTAACAATTGCCGATTGTTAAGAGTGCCAAGTTACGTTCGTAGGTATAGGAAACGAGCGAATGGCAGAAAAAAATCAGGTTCGCTGTCCCGTAGGACGGCGAGCGTGGCGCCCGGTTTCACGGTCGAGGGCCAACTACCGCACGCCACGAAGCCGCTTTCGTCGAGCTCGTCCTCGGCGTCAGGACGCAGCGAGGACGCGCCGCAATACGGGAGTCTACCGGGCAGCGATCACCAGGGACAATCGCAGCAGGACGATAGCGGGCCCGAGGAGAGTCCCGTGTACATTCTGACCTCGGCCAAGGGTGGCCCCAGCTACAAGCTTCGGGATTCGAGGTAGCGATGTAAACAATAATATTGTGCGTGTACACATTAAATTATAATTAATTAAAGGCCACACAGTGCCAATTTAAAAGAGCCAGCGCTCCAATTAGTCGGTTAAAATGCAGTTAAAATGGAGATAAAAATTAATTCATGTAAATTGCAGAGTCAAACAGCTGAATCGCATAAAAGTCGATAACAGACGGCCAAATCGAGATATGAACACTTGCGTGCACGTGAAAATGTATTACGTTTCGTATTGCAGCATTAAATTCGAGAGCGGACTCCGCGCGTTTAACGATGAAACGTTCACTGACGATTCAAGTCCATTTGACGTTTGGTCTTTATGTATCTACATAGTCAGTGGACACGAGCGCCCAGTTTCGATAGCCGATACAGTTCTACAGGTTTCACAACCCGACACAGCTCGATTCCGCGTCGTCCATGTATATTCAACGGGGCGTTAATTTCAAGCTTAATACCGACGATACTCGAGCGGAAATGTCACTCAAATACCAGCTTCTCCCTCGCTACCATTAACGTGTCGCGCAAGCTGCGCGATGTATAGCAAACAAGTCAATATATCCGCGACAATGTAATCCGTTCAGCAAACATTTTTCTCTCTCTTTCTCTCTCTCTCTCTCTCTCTCTCTCTCTCTCTCTCTCTCTCTCTCGCGCGCGCGAAGCTTTACTTGACGAAATGTCTTCGACGTCGGCGATAACATCTCGTGACTTTTCGCGATTTGTAGCGTCACGCGCGTTTCTGTAGGAACGCTAAGAACGGCTATAAGCTAAAGAAGTAGATTTACAGCCGTTATGTCAAACCCGCATACGACCCGTAGCATAGCGATAACATCCTATTTATCTCCCCTCAAATTTTATTCCCATAAAATACTGCTATTATTGGAAACAAATTGAAATTGAGTTTAATTTTGCACAAATTTCTTTTTAAAGAAAAAGTTTTAAGAACTCGGTTTAACATTCCTTAAGCTATTGCACCACTCGTCTTAAATAAATACATTTTTTTCAATTAAATAAAGTATCGCGAATAAATTTCATCAGGAATTACAACTTCTGATATCGTTTGAGCTATCATTTTTAATCGCTAATTATTGACTAAGCTGCTCGCTTATCGTCGGTGGTAATCGATAGAAGGATGTACAAGTACTATTTATCTTTGGGTATTTAATCCGAATGTTTTCAAGTATAGTTGATTTAAACAGCGCGAATATTCAGTTGATATTAAATTATTCCAAGACATTCATTTATGCAAAATTTTACGAAATAAATTTTCATCTATTCTCGCAAGTAATTAAAGTGTTGGGATAACGCTATCTCTGCGCTTTTATCTATTAATCAATAGAATTTATTTTATCTTGAAGATCTTAAATTTCCTTTTATGTAGGACAAGAGAAAAGGTTTTACTCACTTTTATAACTCGGAGTTACAATCCAGATTTCGATCCAGCACTGCTTTTTTCGATGTTAGTTTTATATATCATCGAGATAACATCTTGGAGTTTGCGTTTGAAAACGACAGAAGCGGCATCCAGATGGGAGCCGCAGGAGTTACAGAGCTTAAAAGTCGCGCCCGTTTTCTCATACATATGTCTCGCGTCACGCCTCCGTGTTCTTCACGTCAGTGATCTCGATGAATATTTTTCAATAAAGCATTCCGGGCGGGCCGTATTACTCTAAAGACTGATAAATTGCGCGTAAAGATGAAATTAGTTGGGAAAGTTGGAGAAGGCGCGTCGGTGGGCATATTAAATCCGTTCACGGTGTAAATTATGGGTACCACGCGTCAGTTTTGGGGTTAGCTCACCTGTCAGACGTCCAAGTTTACACGCGTAAAATCACCAATTTTCTTCATACACAACTTGATAACGTGATGAAACAAAATTAATTTATTGGAATATAACATATTTTGCTAGCATTGCCTTGACCGGATTTGACGTCAAGATTTATAATTCGCCATATCACAACTTTACCTACTGATGAACATTAATGTAAATGAATTCATGTAGATAGAATAACTAGTATAGAATATATGGATGACTTACTTTTCTCAAGAGTGACATCAAATAGATTTTAGATTACATTGAATTTAAATAACGTGAAAAAAGTAGAATTATTTTTAAAATATTTGTGCCACTTTTAAGATAAATGACATCTACAAGTGTTATTAATTTTGAACTATTAATATCTAATAGGTATTAAATTCAATTAAGATAAATTTGAAGGATTAATGTTATTTTGCAGCTGCAGAAATTGTTTTAAGGATGTAACAAACTCTTGTATTATCCTACAGAATTATAGAAATTGCTGGTGGTCGAGAAGTATTCTCACAAAGCCGAGGGAAGGTAGCAGCTAGAAAATCACGATTTCTGGCTGCATCAAATTCTATAAATAACGAGGATATTCAAACTGATAATAAGCTAGTTAAGAAGAATAACAAATCTCCTAGCACGCAGACCATATGGGAGTTAAGAAGCCGGTAATTATATTTTTTGTTCAAAGCTATGTTAAAGTTTTGTGATATTGTTTGTAACATTCTGTTGTACAATTGTACTCTACAATTTATTACGAATTTTTAGATGCGGTGAAACCAGAAAGCAACGTGCAAACCGGGAAGTAACAGAGACTGTATTTGCCTCAGAGGTACACTCAGTACGACGCAATCCTACAAAGTCCATTCTCGATTACGACTCACCTAAGAGCAACCGTAGCAATCGCATAATTAATTACGATTCAATTTTAAATAGCAATAATGTAGAATATACGGTACCAAAAAGTATTACCGACCTGGACTATGGATTACCAAAAAGTTGCGTAGATTATCAATCAAATCACAACACACCTGCGAGAAGTATGGCTATTGTCAGCGACGGCGAAGTTGTTGTTTTCGACGATATCGATGACAATTGGCAGGGATTGCGATTAGATTTGGCGTCGAGTAACACAAATCAAGTGACGACGACGAGTCTAGATTTGGAGACAGATGATTCTCAGAGAGGTCGTATCGCACCGGAACCACCTAGTTCCAGCGTTGGAAGTACACCTAGTCCTACAACGGCATATCACCGCAATACTTCAGAATTCTTTAAAGTAATAATGCTTAAGAAATACGTGCGTTGTATACGTGCACCGAGGAACTTTTATACATCTCTTGCATTCAACTTTTACAGGTTGTTACACCAGCGAGTGATTGCGAGGCAGATTCTCCTTCTCCAGAACGTAATCATAAAGTTGCAAGAGTTATTGGTGAATTACCAATTGCACAGTATTCTGGCAGTCCAAGGCGTTATGGAGTCCGCGAAAATACACAGCTTCCTAGCTTGTTATCATCGCCTTCAATGTATATGACACCGAGGCCTGGTTTTCCTCAAAGAGTATTACCAACAACACCAAATCACAATAAGGTAAAGATTATATACAACTTAAATAATGGTCTATTTGATGATATGAGCTAACAATTTTTAATATTTTATTTATCTATCTTATATTTCAAGAAGGAAGATATCTCTGCAGAAATCATTGTAGACAAGACTGTGATAGAAAATATTAGTAACGAAGACCAGATTGTACATCCTTCAACTCCATCACCAAAGGTCGAAGAGGAAGAGGAAGACTCTTTAAAACCGTCAACTTTACCTGCTGATAATATAAGCAGTCTTGTCTCGCCAGGCGGTAGCACTTTTGACTATCTGTACGAATTTTCAGAGACTAGAAAAGTATTAGAAGAATTTTTCAAATGTCCGGCGCCGACGAAAGAAAAAGAAAACAACATAGAGTCTTTTCCTTTCCAAGTAAGTTTTCTGCTTGTTGAACAGTAAAAATTTTAAATTTTGCTTACGATGAGATGTTATATTTATCTGTCAAGGAAATGCTTGAAAGAAAATACTTAAGAATTCCTGCTGTATAATTCATAATCATAAAAAATGCTTACGTATGAAGAACAAATTAGATTTGTAAATTTTATTGTGATTGACAAAAAAATTACTTTCTTATACAGGATCTTGATTATGAACTGCGAAGACAAGGAGGAAGTGCATACGTTGGCCAGCGATTAGCTAGTGGTCCACCGACAACGGAGGAAGTTATGGTACATGAATCTCCTAAAAAACAGCGGGCAGATTTTCCACAAAATGTGAGTACAAAACTTTATAAAGTAAATATTACCTTACAAAATACTTTCTCTTTGCTTAAATTACATCAATCTGTTTCCTGTGTCGATAAAATTTCATACAAAATTAATAATATTTATTTTTATGAAATTAGATATTTACATTTATAAATATTAGCACGATAAGCAAAGATATTTGTATTATAAATATTATTGTTAACAATTTTTAAATGCAAATGTCAATATTTGGAAATTATTTTTTTTTTAGTAGCATAATTTTAAATATAAATTTGTATTTATGAAGATAAAGAGAGAGAGAGAGATAAATGAATAGAGTATGTGTCTTTGCATTATGTGCTTGCGATAAGCTTTTCCACATTTCAAAATGAAGAGTAAATATTCATGTTTGTATTTTATGTTCTTTTTTTAGACGGGTGAACACGAAAACAATTTCCTAGACCTGTCAGTAGGTACTGGTAGTAGTGAAGATCTTGGAGAAACTGAGGTCGGTTTACAAGTAGGACACTCACGTAATTTTACGCTGAGTCCGGAAACGACCGACTGTGACAGCAATTGCGGAGATCTCGATAGCGAAGTGTCCCTCATGATGATGGATAATGAATTAATGCCAGCAAGTGGCCTTCTCGGATCGGTCGGTGATTTGGGGAATAATTCGGATTCCCTGAGAATATATACTAGCATGCCGGTGTTAGAAGACGGCCTGTCCAGCGGACACGCGAGCGATACTGACAACAATAATCCTACTGTGATGCTCATGAAACGGCAAATAAACGAAATAGAAAAGGAAATCATTCAGAGAACTCGTAACGACATGTTAGGCACAAATGAGAATGATTCTGGAAAGGACGTCAGTCTGAATGTAACGAAAGATATTTTGAACACGCTAAAGACTACGTCCCCTGATCTGTTTATCGCGAAGAAAGAAAATTCGTACGATACGAACGAGTTACAACTCGACGGACTGGATCCATTGGGCACGCCACCGCCGCCAGCGCCTCAAGGACGGCAAAGTGTATCTCTGGAGGTGAACTGCGGCGAGGTAGAGGCGGCTATTAAAGACATCAGGATGGCACTGCAAAGAACTAAAACTCTGCCTGTGAAGTCCCCGTCCGAAGAACCGCCGGAGCCGAGCGTCAGTCCGATATGGATACCAAGGTATCTTATGTTCTGCTTTCCGTCGATAAGGGTATTCCAATGGTTATATTTCTGTCCGATATTTTGCCTCGGTGCACTTTCTTGCTTGCCGCTGTAAATTTTCCCCTTTTTATCGTGTCGAACATACGTTTGGGATACCCTTTAGGATATCTCGCTGTTTTGCATGTAAACGCATCTAACTAAGATGTAGTATAATGGATGGCAGGCGGAGAATTTGTATGGAGAGCAATAGCGAGGAATCGGATGCGCGCCGCGTAGGCGACGAAGCCGACGTGGAAATTGAGGAATGTCCGGATGAAGAAGAGGCGGATACCGATCTCGAAACGGATCGGTTACTTGGGCAGCAGAGAACGGACGATCAAGGATTTTACGACGACAAGGTTAGCTCATATTTGACGCACGACATTAAATTCTATATATATTATCCTTACTAATCACATTATATCTATGGATCCTATTTCTCGTTTATATATAATATCTCGTTAAACGGATCTATTATTACACGCGTGACAATACATGCACTGTAATTTCCTGCTAGGTAATATCGAAATGGTGCCAATGCGTTTAAATTTAGAGAAATGAAAACTCATACGAATATAATGCACTTTTCCTGTATTCTGTGTGATTCGATGGTGCTGGTGTTCTACTAATATTGTCTTGGTGTTATGCAGGGGTGGAGGAAGCCTAAGACTAGGACAATGTTACCACCAATGAATGCGAAAGTCGCTACTCCAAAGCAAACCCCTCCCAAAACCTTGAGTGTCGCCCCGATAGAGACGCTAGCACCTTCCGAGCCCATACCCTCGACGTCTACCTCGATTTCCCCTCCTCCCGTAGTGTCTGTTATACAATCGCCGTCTTCTAACGAGTGCGAAGTAGCCACTCCCGCGCAACCTACATCGAGTCCGCAGAAGACCCCAGTTAAAAACTCTCCCTCATCCCCTCAGAGCCTCAAGGAATCCAACAACAAGGTGAAAAAGGTGCCCTTTCAAATGCTACCATGGAATCTGTTTTATTTAGAGACTGTAGATATCTATATTCCCAATGAGCTGCGATAAAACAGCACATATTGGTGCATGTTAATACTATTCTTCTGTTGCTAAACGAGATATATATTTTAATCAGCTTAAATGCAATTTATATCACGTATCAATATCTAAACATGTTTTCTGTAATGATATTTTATAGGAATTTTCATGGTTATTGAAACATTTTACTTATTAATATTACACAAACAGAAATAATTTTTCTGACAACTTTTGAAAGAATTAAATATTTCTTTCATCATAATTGCTAATTAATTTGATAATGAATGTTTAAGCTGATTTTTTAAAGAAAGGGTATTCTTTCAGCGTTATCCAATTGCTTAATTTTTTTTCCATGGCTTCTGCTTGTTACGCTTATTTCAATTTGTAACGAAATATAATTTTAATATTAAAAAAGCGCCTATTTGTGATCATTTTATGTTAACAGAATTTATGATTACATTTTTTATATTGTGATTATATAGAAATAACGCAATGATAATGAATGAAAACGCTTTATACATAATATCTGTCCATACTCAGTAGAGCAAAATAATTATTCATTATTTTGCAAAAGTGGTAACAGAGCGGTAATAGTAATAGTGATAGTGTTAATTCTACTTAATAACACTATCGCTATTACTGTTACTGCTCTGTTACTGCTACTACTATTACTATTACTACTATTACTATTACTACTATTATAATTTATTTATAGACGTAAATGGGAACATGTTAATGTTTATCGACTTTGTTATATGGCAGCTACTGCATGGTTAGCACACATGTTTAACAGCTTAAATGATTACATTTACGAGATTGATATATACAAGAATTAATTGTTACTTCTTGAAGTCTTATCTGTGCCATTATGTGAAGTATATTATGTCTGTTCTGATTTCCAGGATAAGGAGGGAAAGAAAAAGAGCAGAAACAAAGAAGGTAATGTCACATTCTCATTATATCTTTTATTATATTATATCCTCAAATTATATCAATATTAATTTTTTTTTTTTTTTTTTTTCTCTATTTTTTAACGATTTTCTAATTATTAAATATTAATATAATATTTCTTTCTACTGCTTGCGTTTTGGATCGATAAACACGGCGTTTGTTTCTATCCCTTTTTATATGGTAGGTACTCTTTTTACATCTGCATATATTTTATAACAATTAGGACATTGCTTAATTAATAATGCTAATACTAAAGATTATTTGATTCATAATTAAAATTCACTTTTGCGTGATAGTACTTAACACTTTCAATTATCTCTGATTTCTTGAAAATTATTATTATTATTATTATTATTATTATTATTATTTTTTTTTTTTTTTTTTTAATTCTTTCAATATGATTTGGTAATGAGACTTACTTTTTTTTTTTATTGTTAATGAGACGTATTTCTAATGATATATAATTTATACATGTTGTCTGTGTTTAAGAGAAATCTGTTTTTATCTGTTATCTGTGTTTACTTGGAGTTTTGAAAAGTATGTTCAGAACAGATATCTTTACTACTTTGTAATTCTTGATAAGATCAGTAATTATATTGATAAGTTTTCGGTATTCGGAAGTCTCGCAAGTATGTCTATGACATTTCATTTTCGAATAACTGCATTTCACAAGTGTGCAGTTATTTGTCGCATATATAATTATATTAGAAATTAATCTGATAGAACGCAGTATAATATCGATACAAATAATAAAAGTGGAAAAATTTTATGTGATTGTAAGATCAAAAAACTTAATAATTTTGTGTCATATGACAATATGAAGATCTTGACATTGACTGAAGATTCGAGTAAAGCAGAAGAGAATCTGCTTTTAAGTACTATATCGATGTCCTCCATCAGGCTACCTCGATGTTCCTTCGAATATTTGACTGCTTTCGGCACATTGAATTGTGAAAAGAGTGAGATTCCAAGTAATGCTAATTGGTACATTTCTGCGACACTTTCAGACTTGTTGGATGATCCCTCAGTGTTGATTGAAGGAGTCTTGTTCCGCGCGAGGTACTTGGGATCTACGCAACTGGTATGCGAGGGTCAACCGACGAAATCGACTCGAATGTGTCAAGCGGAGGAGGCCGTTTCTAGGATAAAGGTAAATATGTGAAAACGCATTTTTTTTCTTATTTTGTCACGTTATCACGAAACTGATATTATTTCCCTTGATCTGATTATATACTTCAGTTACGAAAGATGTGTATATATCTACGATTATATACTGATATGTGTATATAAGAGCACAACTTATATATCTCGTGTATAAATAAAATATATATAAGAATAATTTTTCCCTAAATATTCGCGAAGCGTTGAAAAAAGATTATTGAATATAAATTATTAAATGTGATGTAAGTCACTGAAAAATGACATTATTTTCCTAGAAAGTTTATTTTAAAGAGCAGTAACTACTAATTAAGTGAGCATATCGTGATCTGATAGATAATGCATCCATAGAGTAAATGATATGTTGTGTTTTGCTTAGATCAGTAGCACTAAGTTTGGAAGATGCATTATATAGTTAAAACAAATATGTTAGATCATATTGACTAGATGTCCTAACTGTAAACTCTTCCATGATTATTGAAACGGAAATTGAGTATTAAAAAAGGAATATCTTAGAAGGTGTAAAATCTTTTCAGGGACTATTAGAATTAAACTACGATAAATAATAATGAAATTAGCAGCATGCTCTGAATGCTTTATACTATTTTAATTTGCTACTTAATTTGTAGTGAACAACAGTGCAATATTCTCATCTGCAATATAATGTATTTCAATGTTAAAATTTTTAACTTTTTGAGGACTTAAAACTGTAATTTCTCGGTGCAATCGCAAATCAAGCGCTATAAAATATTGTGATAATTGTGCTGTAAGAAATTCGCGCATTAAACCAGCGCGTCAATTGCAGAATGCCATTGCTTCGAAACCATTGATTCACCTCAAATGGTTAAAATGCTGAAATCTTAAGTGATTAGTTAAACCTGAGAGTTTTCTGCAGGAAAGAGTACTGTCCACTAAGTCGCATCTCATGCGTGACTCTCGCTTGTACTTTAATTCCATAGATAAAGAATATGTTTCATAAGATCCTAGATAGTTTCCAAATATGTTCTAGATGGTTGTCAATACAGATCATGTTCATAATATCTACTATATTTTCACGGTATTTCATACCTTTACTGACAACGATCTGTTATATATATCTTCTTCCTTTTTAATTAAACTTTATGATTTATGGTGTTGATCAATCTTTCAAGGAAACTGTCGATATTAATTGAAGAAAACAGTGAATTCTTTCCTCTCGCTCTTAGGTTCTGCTCATAGGCAATCAAGCGTCAGCATTTAGATAACTTTCTTCTTCACATATATTTGTAAATATGTACAGAAGAATACTCTTGTGAGCGATTAAATAACGATTCTTTACACGGTGATCAGTTGCCATTATCTTAAATGCTTTTTTTTTCGACAAAAATCTGAATGCTGATTTTTATCTATTTATCTGATACAATTAATCTAAATATAATTGTGAACTGGCCGTTGTGCAAAGAGGCCTGAATGTTTCAGTGTAGCGCCCCCCTTCCTCACATCACCAACACCACCACCACCACCTGACCACCGAACACTGTCATCTTCTCAGTGTAACTTTGATGTGATTTCTGTGTCTATCTATCAATCTTTTTCTCTTTTTTTTTCTCTGCGATTTTTTTTTATTATACCTGTTATCCGCTTGCTATATTTGCTTCCTCGTAGGTTCTTGATCGATATATTTTATGCACAAGAGATCCGTACTCGCGGAAGATATTGGTCTACTCAATAACTCCATTTTCATATTTTATATCCAAGAAATTGCTGTGTAAAATAAAGATGAAAAATACCAGACAACACGAAAAGCGAGTCTAAGCGCAATGCAACATTAAAGAGAATATGATGGAAATATCAAACCATTTTATTTTAATCAAATTTTCAAGTGGAAGAACTTTGATATAACATTGAACTTGAAATTTCTGAAAGAACGTGAAAGATAATTATAATCAATGAGACAGCGATACTATGATATAACGGTCTTCATATGACAGTATCCTGCAAGATTGAATATTGTTAGTCGCTTACATAATATTCGTTCATTCAATTAGAATTTTACAATATTGTAGATAATTTTTTTTTTTTTTTATAAAATCTTATTACAGCATGAAGTAAGATCTTATATAGTTGAGTAGACCAGGATTGCGGAAACGAAACGTTTCTTTAGTTTCTATCGTTGCGAGAATATTTTAGTCACATTAATCAGCAATCAAAATCTGGAGAAGTTATGCTTTTATGACCGAGCACTTGTGAGAATAACTTCATTTGATATATGAATATATGATCACAGAAAATGTAACGTCGATTAGTTTTTTTGAATAGTATATGCATGACAATTGATTTAATTGCAAGGTTGCTAAGCTGTGCTCTAGTGTATACAGTATAATAATAAGAGAACAACAGTTCAAGGATTAAAGAGAGTAGGTTAAAAAAAGGATTGCTTATTTTGAATAATATATGAAAATTTGTTTGCGCTACTAAATTGATTTTTCGATGCTACCGAGTAAATATATAACTTGCGCTTGATGCTTTCGAATATCACTGGACAAAAGGACTTTCCTTATGTTTGCATCTCAAATCATACTCAGATCTTTGTACTCGCTTATGAAAAGGCTTTGGAATCGAAATGAATGATTGCGAAAAATAATCAATAATTCTACATGTCGCTTTGAATTGCTTATATTTCTTTGATTCTTCGTTCTCGACATGGCGCAATTAACTGAAGAACTTGGATTGCTTATTGCGATAAGAGAGCCCCTATCATCATGCTTCGAGTTCTGAGTTGCTAGATGGAAAACACTTAAAGAGTCGGTATACACAACTTATACCGCTATTAATAAGCACTTGTTAAATCGCAATCGCAGCGGATCCGCGTATATACCCGTTTCATCGAATCGTTTTACCATTTCCGTAACGTTACGCTTGCACGTTGCACAGCTTCTGAACACCGTGAGCTTTGTTCGAAGGCAAAAAAAACTGCATAACGAGGGTCACATCGTACGCAAAGGTGTATGCTACCGAAACTAATGCATTTTATATGTGTGAATGACTTTGATCCGGTATATACAGTATAGACGACACAGAGCATGACCACTATGCATAAGGAAAGTAAAGACGTGTATTGGTCGTTAGCAACTCAAGAACTCATGAACAATTGGCTCTTTGCCTCTCGTTCAGTCGGTGGTGCGTGGCAATGTGACTAGCAGAGCCTTTGTTTGTTTGTTTGTTTGGCGCGTGCATAACGGAAGGATGATGGGCCAGTGCCGATGCAGGCAACACTCTTAAACTATGGGGGGCAGCATGGGTATGGTCGCTGCAGCATTGCCTCGCAAGGAAGCCTAGAGGAGGACGAGTGCGACTCGAGCGAAGAACTTATAGGAAGCGCTTCTGGTGGGGGCCAGTCCGAGTCGCACGCACTTGGAACCCAGCCGAAACTGGCCCCGATCAGTAGTGGCTGCTTGGCGTCCACAACCGTTTTCAGACTACAGTTTCTCGGGTCGGTGGAGGTGGAAGAGGAAGGGGGACGTAAACGGCGTAAGCGCCTTAAGAACCACATGGTGGAGGAGGCCGTGACGAAAATAAAGGTCCGCCCTCATTGCCCTTCATCCCAGACAACCCCTTCGCTGTAAAAGTCCGACTGACTGCCCTTTGACTCTTAAAAGAGCAGTCGCGTCCGATCCGTTTCATCCCTCTGTTTATTTATACGCCGTAGACCAAGATTTTACCACCCTGGTTTTCGTCAGCTTGACAATTTGATTTTACTCGGCGAGTACTCACAGCAATATCCCCACAGTACACTCTTGTTTACTTATTAAACTCGTATAATCCGCACTTTGTACACCCCTCATAAGTCGTAGCAACGAGTTTCTCACAAGTTAGATGTTGCGATCGGTTAGGTTTTTACCTTCTGTCTCTCTCAAACTCTCAGGTTTGTCATAGCGCCGATTCAATGATTATGCTCTTAACTCGATACGATTTACTCTACAGTACCACCGTTTACTTATTTTTATTAGCGATTAAGCGTCGAGTTTATTTAACATCCATACCATTTGAATGTTGATAATTAATTACTTGTTATTTCTACTCTGTTACACATGCTGCTTTCTTACGATAGGCATTGGTATGTATATGCAAAATATATACGGTATCGAAAATCTGTGTGAAAACTAGAGCTCTCTAAATGAAATTTGTGTTTTCAGGCACCGGACGGTGACAGTCAGCCAAGCACGGAGGTAGACCTTTTCATTTCGACGGAAAAGATCATGGTTCTCAACACTGATCTGAAGGAGATCATGATGGATCACGCATTACGCACGATTTCGTACATAGCGGATATCGGCGATCTTGTAGTGCTAATGGCGCGGCGACGCTTCGTGCCGCACGAAATGGAGGAAGTACCGAAAATTAACCGAACTCCCAAGATGATCTGTCACGTTTTCGAAAGTGAGGAAGCTCAATTCATAGCACAAAGTATCGGACAAGCGTTCCAAGTAGCTTACATGGAGTTCCTAAAGGCAAACGGGATAGAAGATCATAGTTTCGTGAAGGAAATGGATTATCAAGAAGTGCTCAATTCGCAAGAGATATTTGGCGACGAGCTGCAGATGTTTGCAAAGAAAGAAATGCAGAAAGAGGTAAGTCTTTTTACCGACTCGAGAATGATGTAACTTACTTGTTAATAGGCAGAGAATCGTGGGTGCATTTTTGCCGCTTCGTTGACGCGATGAAAAACATCCTTGTAACATTTTGAACATAATGAGAAAGGATTTTTCTCCTTTCAGGTGGTGGTACCGAAGGCGAAGGGCGAGATCCTCGGCGTTGTAATTGTTGAGTCTGGATGGGGCTCTATGCTGCCAACCGTAGTCATAGCTAATTTGGCGCCGGCCGGCGCCGCCGCCCGTTGCGGACAGCTTAACATTGGCGATCAGATAATAGCGATTAACGGTGTATCGTTAGTCGGCTTGCCTTTGTCCACGTGTCAGACTTACATAAAGAATTCCAAGAATCAGACGGTCGTCAAGCTGACTGTCGTACCGTGCGCGCCTGTAGTCGAAGTGAAAATCAAGAGACCCGACACGAAATATCAGTTAGGATTTAGTGTACAGAATGGAGTGATATGTAGTCTATTGAGAGGTGGTATCGCCGAACGGGGCGGAGTTCGCGTGGGCCATAGGATAATTGAAATCAATAATCAGAGTGTTGTTGCTGTACCACACGAAAAGATTGTTAATCTTCTGGCCACATCAGTGGGAGAGGTACGTAATGCGTGCGCGCTTTCCGCGCTCAAACAGCAGTACGCAGCGAGATTGCACATATTGCCGAAACTATTGTTTTTTTTTTCTTTCTAGATTTTGATGAAAACAATGCCCACATCGATGTTTAGGCTGTTAACCGGCCAGGAGTCTCCGGTGTACATATAAGAGAGCGTTCAGTTGCCTGGCTGATGCGTAGTGAACAGACAATACATCCGCCATCCACTACCATATTATCCGCTACTACCTTTACTGTACAGGTTACTCAATGCAAATCGCTTTGTGTTTCGATTCTTATGGGACAATTCGATACATTCACCAGCTCCTGCTTAGTAAACGAGACTACTAATAGGTACGTCGCAGAAACGTTACTAAATATTTACTCAAGCATAATTTATATGATTAATAAATGATTATCGTAAGATATACGTATAATACTAATTAATGAGATTCTCTGTAACATGAGTACATGTTTTCGGAAATTTAGCGAGATATTTTTACCAATATTTCTCACATATGCACAATGCTGACGTTTGATTTGTTCTATTAAATTATACAAGTCACGTGGCAAAATTGCCGTGATCGTTTACACGGTTAATTTGTCGTACAATTATACAGCGTGAGGCTAATAGGAAAGTATTGACTTTGAGTATACAGCAATGGATGTTACAGAAAATCGCATTATTCGCGCCAAGGAAGATGATAGGTGATGCAAATAATGCACATGATTATAAATAGCACAAAGCTCTTTACCAACAGCTGAAGCAGGGCTGGAACTGTATATTACGTAGTCTAATGACGTAGTAATATTTATAAAAAGGATCTCCCTCTATCTCTCGTGGAGATACTTTAAGCTAAAACGTTTATTTAATCTTTTTTATCTTTAAGGCCGGCGAATACTCGCGGCGTGGGCCCGGGTGTATTAATTTGTACTAAAATTAATATCTACCGTAGTAAAACTTCGGATGCGTAAATCTCGTGATAAATAACGCCATAGTAATTATATAGAAGAGCACAGCAACACGTTCTAGACGACAGAGATTTTTTAAACGAGTAGATAAATTCGTTTTACAGTGTATTAAGGAAGACTTTCGGCAAGGATAAATAACCTGTGTATTTGCCGAACGGAAATGTCATTAAGTGGATCTTGTATGCCTACATACTACTTCATCGACGCTGTCCTATCGTATTAATACTCGGCTGTAATCAAGCACGAAAACTATAACATAGTACATTCGCCGCATGATATTCATTTTCGAAGCGACGTTTCCAAGTCCTTCAATTCGCACTATGCTTCATAAATACGTCTCTATCATTCGCGGGAAACTAGGCAAGTAAAAAAGCTTCAGCTTTGCACAATATCTTAATAAACGTACGTAATGTAAGTATACAATTTTGGGATATACGCATTTTGGGGGGAAATATGACTTGTCTCTTCGTTTCTCGCGGATAGTAGTAAATTGTAAGTTTATAAAAGTCATTCTGTTCCTAGCAATTTACATTCGTCACTCGCTTCTTCGATCATACTTTGATAAATGTTGAGAAATGGCTGTGTATTTAAGAGTTTAGAGTTTTATAGATGTAAGATTGCACTCCACTTAGATATTTTAGAGAGTAGGGACCCTAAACTTTGGAATCTTATACCTTCTTTTGATATTTCAGAGAATTTTTTCGGAGAAGAAGTTCTCCCAACTCGCTTTAATGAAAATTCAATTATCGCTATTGAATTCTTAACTCCAAATTTCTGACACAAATTATCTCGACAAGCTTTCACATTGCCAATTTTTTCTACACTTATCAATTGAGTATCTAGACGTCTTTTTAGAAATTTCCAAGGTGATGCATGCTGACAATTTGCGAAATAACACCTTCAAGCAAGCTCATTTCCTTGCATTCAAGCATTACTGACTACTTTCGACTGTCAGTGATTCAATTTTATAGAATAAAAATTTCTTTTAATCTATTTATTTTTCGTAGGAGCATTCGAAACTTGCAATTGATAAAGATAGTTGTAGTAATTATTCGTAAAAAGGATTATAGATGCATCTTATCTGCATCAGCTTGCAGTAAATTTTCACTCGCCATGTATAATACATGTAAAATATGTAAAAATTATACTCAACTTAATGTGGCTTCACTGCATAGGCATACAAAACGAAATCTAGCTACTCCCGACTTATAAACTTTGTCAATGGAAAATTCCTTCTAAAATAAACAGACTGACTCTATGTGTTACCGAATAAGGTAAAGTACTCAATCCAGAAACTTCATTCACGAGAGTCGTACCGTTAAAGAAAAAGAAAAAAAAAAAAAAAAGAAAACGTCCTCTTCTATATAAATACTATATATGCCATAATAATCTAAGTTTTATCTATTTTTGCTGAAGATTTCTCACTTTTGAGCTATTCTGCTTCAAATATCAAGAAGTGTGCGATGATACAAATTTTGAGATTCCTGATGTCTGATAAAATTTCAATGCCAAAGTACATTAAATAATAAGGCGTAACAACGGAATAACAAAATATGTATAATTTTCGATGGACGGAAAATTATTCAGATTTTGTCTGAGAATGTTAACTATTTCAAAATGGCGTATTCTGATTTGCAAGAAATCAAGCTTGTGTTGTCTTCACTTCTGATATCAGATATATAGAGCGTTTAAAGATGGGATTCAGGATTTGGTAGAATACTCATTAAATTAAAGAAATGTGTAATAAACATAAGTTGAAGAATTGAAAATGAAAGCAACCAGATTATCTGTATTATTAAAACCGAAAATTGTGTTTCAAACTCAAAAATTCTTCAATCTACGTTGACTAGATATTATTTGTTCAGTTTGATGAGTATTTCATGTATCCCAAGTACTGAATTCCTCCTTTTAAACAATTTGTTTTAATCATAGAATTTATGTGTTCACGTAATAGGTACATGTAAAAAGAGTCAAACTCTCTTTTAGAGAGAAACCTTAATTTTGTAAGAAATACATTGGCATTTAATTTCAAAATTTTGCAAGATTTAACACGGGCATCTTTCTGTTTTGCTGATAGAACAGATGCTAATTATCTGTTTTATTTATTATTTCAAAATTTAAGTTGACTCTTCAATTACTAATATCTTGAAAGATCTCTAATTTGCCATTGACACGGCATTTCGTACGGAACAATTCTCAGGCACACGAATGAATAGCGTGTATATAAAAATGTTTCGTTGTCTATAATTACTTATTGTACTGTACATCGGAAATCGGTGTGCATTGGAAAAACCTCAAGAGGATAGTTACGTAGGAAGTGTCTTGAAATGTATGTATAAAGATATATGGTAATTCTATTACCTTCATTGGAAAGGATAGCGGAGAGCATATTATGATATTGCATATCATGAGAAACTGATATATCATTGTGGGCTAGACCTTCATTCTTTATGGACAAATATCTAAATGAATACGCAGAAAGTAACCTTTGCGGCGAAATCACCAGAATCCTAGAATAAATGACGATTATATATGTTAGGGCGAAATGGATTTTGGCATAGAAATTTTAACCATATATTCGGTGAGCAGCAGAGCGGTATGAATATAATATATGGGATCAAACAAGATGTTATATATTGGGTGGCTGAAACTTATCTAGTCATTACGCTAAGAATAAGATGAATATATATATATATATATAAATAAATATAAATATAAATAAAGAAAAGTATATATATACATAATAAGAGTTAATACTCAGCCATCGCAAGCCACCCTGACTGAATGTGTCTAGCCACATTTTAATAATAACATCTGCAACTTGTACTGTCAATCTGGCCTTGCGTGGTCATTGCATGTATGTTCATTAGAAGCGAAATTTGATATTGAATCGCCATTATCGTTCGCTGTCTCGAATTTCGAATAGATTTTTTTTCTCTTTCAATAATTTACAAGTATCTACAGTTATTAAAGTGTGGCTTGTATTGTGAGGTATTTGTAAATTTAAATTGATAAATAGGCCCATTAATAGGTCATAATTAATCGAGAGCCATTAGAGCCATTTAACATTGTTTGTTGATATTCTATTGATATTGTTCACGTAAATTTTTTCTATAGAATTCTTTCCTAACTTTTCTACGATTATTGGTAAATTATATATAAACGAATGCGAAAGGAGGTCTAGCGAACCTGTTCTGTTTAAATTTAAATAAGCATACAATTAAGTTTTGTCATACAATTATTTCCGAGCATTGTAAAATATTTGTATCGTGCTTGTATCTTAACAAAGCCATTGGCGATCATGACGCCTGATTTACGGAAACATTTAGTTAATAACGAGATATGTTTTACATAATTAAGTCTCATTAAATAAAGAATGATGATCGTGCAAAGTCAGTATGAATGATAGATTCAAAATTGCAGCCAGAATTGTTATGAAATAATTGAAAACCCAGCCATTCATATAACAAATAAAAGTAATTATATCTTACACATATATAGAGCTTGCGCTATAGCTTCACCAGTCATGAAACATGCTACAAGATATCATGACTGTCTTTATCAATGTTTGTGAGTGTATAATAAGTTATAAACTATAAGTGAGCTATTGAATGTGTATATGGTATATGCTAGTCCATATTAAGATACAATAAAATGTAATTTTGAATTCAAATCTAGTTATCTATCACTCGGACTTTGGAGCACAATACGATGCGTCGTTGAAAGCAACATAGCTTTTCCTTCAGTTTTCTTTTCTCTTTTTTTCTTAAAGGCTTTATTTCTTCAAAATATTCCACATGACATGTGAAGCAATGAGGTATATACATTATGAAGCGTTCATAAAAGCGGTGTAAAATTATCTAAACTATTAATATCGTGGGAAAAGTAGGAGCACCGATAAATTACTTTTTTTTTTTGTAAAATCTAACAATCCTTGCCCCTTCCTATCTTCTTAATATTGAGTTAATATGTTGATAAATACATGGATGCATTTTCTTATTACAAAGATATGGCGTATCATTTAAACCTACGTTTTCATAAGAAAAGACATGACGTAATTATGCCTTTATTATTGTTATATTGTTAACTTCTAGATTTTATTTTCAACTTGGAACGCAGAAGACTAAAAATAAAATGAAATTTTTAATCAATGCATGATAAAATACTTCAATAGACTAATGGAACGTAAGGAAAGAGGGAATTAACATGCTTCAGATACATAGCTAAATAACGATAACTTAATGAAATGCACATTCGTTAACATTGAATTTTTTTGAAACTTAATTATTGTTAATTCACGAACGTTCATTATTCTACAGTAGCTTTTCAAAAATTTCACATACCATATATTGGCACAACATAATATAAAATGCGCGTACAATAGAATAATAACTCTATATATCCCAAACTCTTAATAATAATCTCTTTATTATTGCAGATTATCTACAATTGTTTTAACCTATCCCCGTGTCCTTAGATTACAGAAAACCTCCCTATTGTAACAATTAGTAAAAAAGGCTCATAATTCCCATTTTTCACAAGATATTTATATACCAACTGGTTGTATTTTTGTTCTCATATGGTTGTAATAAAACGTACGTTAGATAAAAATCACTGACGTTAGTTTTATTATAATTTATTAAACCAATGGTATGTTAAATATTTTTTTCTATCGTTATATGCACTATTCCTTTGCAATCACCTTGTTATAAAGATATTGTTCCTATTACTCTGCTATTTGTTTAATTACACAATGTGCAATATGTGTAAATTTAGCTATTTTTGCATACATTAATTCTTGCTATAATAGTTAAAATCTTAGCAAATGGAAAATATTTATGCACAACTGTTATATTATTTTACATCGTTCTCCGCGTAAGCAATCGTCGTAAAAGAAGAATTTTTACATACGGGGACTGATTTTCTCTACAAAGGAATTTATTATTATATGTACTCATATCTTAATAAATAGAATTCGTTTATTATAAGACAATAAAGAACTTTTCTATTCTTACTTATATTTACATATTAAGCAATTAATTGGCAATTATCACTAACATAATAATGGAAGATTTCTATTCACTTGTAGCCCTTCTCTTTGGAGCAAACCAAATATATTCGAAAATGTATTTCTCTTTTTTATCGTATATTGAAAATTAAAAAGCTTTTATTATAACAACTTTCCACACCTCAGATTCCATCAATAAAATAGCTGCGGACGTCAGAAGACGGTTAAGTTTTCATAGATTGAAAATGTTCGTAGCTTCTTTGATATAAGACATATGATAAATAATAGCTCGTGTAATTTTATAATGCTCCTTCTTACCATTTTTTCTATTCTAAATATGGTGGAATACTTAAATCTATTGTGTATTAGACAGATAACCAGTTAGTATATATGATAAACTAGTTTCTTAAGAAAAAAATTTATATGTTAAAACAAACCTTTCAATTCCATTATTAAATAACATATTAGGAGAAAAGTACAAATTGCAAATTGTACAGATTTCGTAGCTATACAATGAAGAAATTGTATGTCGCATATTTTTTTGCTTGATACAATTTCAAACTCGTAACATATCTCGTCATTTTCACGGGAGGGAGGCTTTCTTTTGCAGATGCGCAATATTAATATAGGAAGATATTTACGCAGTTTCTCAATGAGCGATTGAATAAATCCAACAGTAGTTTGCATTCCCCTACGATATATAGAAAATATCCCATTCTGTTTTACTCTTACAAAACTTTTATTATTTTTATAGCAAAATTGTGGACACAGGTGCCGGATACGCAATTGGTGCGGGTAAGGTGATCAAAAGTCTGGGAAAGGTAGGAATAACATCGCTTTGCTTTGTCGTGGGCGATCTGACAAGGCTGAGATCAGTTGTCCATAGCGTATCTTCGAGTCCATTCTTTGGCATTACGTATCGCTTCGCTTTCGTTGACTTTCCAAAGTTCAGCTACATCATTTGCCAATGGATCATCGGGATTTGGCGCACTTAGAAGTGCTTGTATAGACAGCAGTACTGTTCTGATTTGGAGTGCCGGACTCCACTTGTCCTTGAGAATATCCAAGCAAATTCTACCCAATCTACAGATAAAATAAAAGTAATTTTATTAAATATATGTGTGTGCAAAACATGTGCAAAAAATTAACATTTTGAGACAACTTATTTGTCGTTTTTATCTTAAGTAATCTGTTCTACATAAATATTTATAAATAATTTTAGTTACATATGTAATATGTGATATACACATATGTGTAATAATTATCTATATCTCACATGCTTTACTATTTATATGATGCATACAACAAATGCTATAAATTTATTGAAAATTACACAAAACTTATATATTTAATGATCGCAATACATTTATTTTTATATTTACCTGTCTATATTTGGATGATATATTTTTGTAATGAATCTAACTTTAGGTGCGGACATTGGATAATCTTCTGGTAGGAACAATTCGAGCTTAAACAGTCCACCTTCAAATGGCGAATCTTCAGGTCCCGTTACTATTACGTGAAAATACCTAGCATTTGTGTCATCTGGTACCGCACTGATACCAGGAACTGGCTCTTGCATTAATCTTTGAGTTTCTTTAATAATCCTTCGTGGTAACGCTGCCATTGTTTATGCAAAGGACTGTGAGAAAAAAATTTGAGAATGTATTAAACTTTATACAAACAATATAAAACATAATAAAATATATAAAATGTTTCGACAAGGAAGACTTTACTTAAAATTTGTTGGAGAAAAGTTTATCTGGAATTGCAAAACTTTAACTCTTGAAGCTTTGATCGTAAAAATTCTTCAATTTCTCATTTTGTAAATTCAAAAAACTTGTCAACAATGCCATGCTTAAATTTTTCTCTATTATCTCTAAATAAAAAAAAATTTGTACTACAACTCTAATCAGTATTACAACTTTAAGAATCTGAGTTAGAAATTTACGAACAAAGTAATGATACAACAATGAAACGTACTTTGTGTTGTTATTAAAACTTTACAAAAATAAGATACTTATGTATTGTAAAACAATATCCATATTGATATTAATGCAATTTTCTATTGTCACGAAACCATTAATTAACTTGTGCTAACTACAAGTGAGAATATGTATAGACACGCTGACGCGAAATATTGTCTCAAGCAATATCGTCAGCATCTCTCGCATACCATTGGGAACTTCTCCCTCCTGCTCCTTCTACACAAAACACAATGCTGACCGCCAAGCGGACATATCACACCGCGATTTACAAACCGTGTCCGGATATCCTGGCATGTGTCGAGAGGCGGGGATCAATGGTCTTTTTCACGGCACTTGTTGACGAACGAACGACAATCGGCTACGAATTGACAGCGTTGACAGCTTGCCACACCGAGTTGAAGCACGTATCAAATGCATATGTATATGATGCGTGTGCGCCTGTGCATGTGTACGCGCGCGAGCGCGCAGTGCACAGCATGTAGTACGTATAAAATGTATGCGTGTAGGGTCCACGGTATGCGTTGCCAAATGTTGGGGCGGGATATCGGGGAAATCGCATGAACGCAAATCCGTTCACTCGAATCTCGAGCACGATTGGGCACGTGATACATCCGAGGCGTACAGATGATTTCTAGGGTTTCGCCGAGGGAAGAGCACTCGGGGGGGGTCTCGCGATATCCTCATAAACAAAGGGAGTCGTGTAACGATTCCAGTATCCGAAGATTGTCGTGTCGGCGCGATCCCGATATAATGCGCGGCTGTGATACGTACGATCTCACCGCAAATCTGCAGTCGCGTTCCGCAGCGTCTCGCACGAATCGTCTGGCAGTTTTCCGTGGCCGTCACTCCGGCCACCGTGTATTCTTCTAGAAGCCTCGAACCGTTGTCGTTGATTTTCCAAACGGTACCGCCACCGTTACTCGATTGCTCTCCTAACTAGCCGTCACCGCCACCACCGTCGTCGGCCTCGCCAGCCGACACTCTCTCGGGGGAACCGGCCGGTGATCTACGGGTGCGTGGCCCGCGGGATACTCAATCGAAGCCGCTAATTTAATTTCCACCCGTGCGTGTGGATGCGTATCGCGCGGCTGGTTGGTCAGTTGCCTAGTCAGTGGCCCCTCATAGCCGCTTCATTTTATCACGCGTTGATGGCGCTGCTACCCGTCCGCTCGAGAACCAACACTACTTCTATGCTTTCTCTGGCTTTCTTCGTCGCGAATGCTTTGCGCTATTTACATTTATTTCATAGATGGAACCATGCGTTCATTCCTCGACACTAATTTCATATTGAATTTATATTGCGTCCGACGCGTCGTCAGAAGTCAATAAAAAACTGCGTTTTCTAGGAACTTTGTCTCATTTCTAAAAAATAATTTTCTTATATATTGTATATTGAATATATGTCCCATGTTGGATGATGAATGCAGTATGAACCCTCCATTATATAACTGCAATTTTAATATTTGATAAACAAATCATTAACAATTAACATTTCCAGAAACCTTAAAAAAGATGTATAAATTATTTAAGAATTTTATCAGCATTCTAACATTATCAAAAGTAGTTCAAAAGCAAAAATAAGCATGTAGAAAGATTAAGATTAGCCGTTGAAATGGCTCCATTTTAGCCGGATTCGGAGAAATGTTAACAGGAACACAGGATGACATAAGAGCTCGCTCGAGTATCAACTAGGCGGAGGTGTGGCTTAGCAATCTCTGAGCTCAGCAGAGGGGAGCTTAGAAAAGTGGAAGCCCTCTTTGGATTGGCTGTTGCCTTTGCATGGCTGCCATATGGAGGAGTGGTTACCGCAGACTTAGGACCTTCTTTTGATTGACTGTTGCCATGGAAGCCTGGCATGGAAGCCTGGCAGCCATGCAAAAACAACAGCCAATCCCTGAGCTCAGAAAGCGCTAAGACACACCTTCGCCTAGTTGATACTCGAGCTCTTATATTATCCTGTGTTCCTGTTAAGTTGATGGCAAAGAACGAGACGTAAGCGCTTACGTCTGTCGTGAAACATATTCACACAATAGCATTTCACAATTTACGTTTTTTTTGCCTTACCATACGTTTTTTTTTTAAATTTCTAGAAACTTTTTTGTGAAGTAATATACAAAATGCTAATTATAAATAATTTATTAATTAAATATTAAAAATCGTGCCCCTAGCTTCGATAAAATGATTATATAATATTTAATTATATCTTAATCGGTTTTAGCAGTATCAAAGTGTTTATAAAATTCTGAAATAGTTTCTATCATTTTGTTTTATCTTTCTAAATTTTATTAATATTAATTGAATTGTAAAAATTAATCACAAAAGTAAAGCAATAATTAAATATTTATCAAGAGAAGAATTTACATATTTTGATGTGTAAATTGAAAAAACCTAATGTTGTCTTCGTTATCGTCTTATGCCCGTATCAGACTACATTGAAGATTGAGATTGAAATTTGTCCAATCAGTACAAAGAATCTTTAATTTTCAATGCGTAGTCTTATACGGGCTTCAAGTTTGTTCGCGTTGCATGCTCTAACATGCTCTTACTCGTTCCAACGTGCTTCAATCTATAGTACTATGTTACGTATACTATAGATTAAAGCGTATTGGCGCGAGTAGGAACATGTTGGAGCATGCGACGTGAACAAATCTCATATGCTAGAGACTTTAGAAGTAAATTGATTGGTTTCGCTACTGTATATCAAACTGATAATAAAAATTTGGACAACATAATTAGATTTTTGCTTTTAAGGCTTTAGGATTCCCTAGTGACTTTATATCCAATCCACATCACAACGGATCTCTGATTCGCGCTTGCTCCCGAGATCATTTGGAAGCGTCGCACACGTTCGCGTATCATCGTCGCGTGTCTCGTTCGAAGAGAGTGACACGCAATGTGAGTATCAGCCTGTTAAGTCGCATCGTGTAAAAAACGAAAAGAATCGGATGCGCAGACTTGTGTGGAATTACGCATCACCGTTTGTGTTTGTGAGTCTCGAGGTCCCGCGAGTTAACGGAGAGGTGAACACTCGAAGAGGAGGTTGTGTTTAACGGCGCGATACGCGCGAGCGAGTGTGTATGCGTGCGTGCGCACGCGTATGTACGCGAGACGGACATCCAAAGCACGGTGTTCTCGACGCAATAATATATATCAGCGAAAGACGAGTGCGAGTTCTGCGTGCGTGGATGCAACGGCGGCAGCCGTAGTGACGACAACGGCAACAACAACGTCGAGCGGCACGAGTGACTGTATCGCGACAAGGAGGTCGTGAACTCGCGAGCGAGAGAGAGGGACAGAGCGTGATCATTCGAGAAACATCGACGGTGATCGCTCAGGGTCCAGTGTGGCATACGTGAACCTCGTCTTCGTTCACCAAGGTTAAAGAAGACAGGACGATCCGTCGTGTGGAATGCCTCGCTAAAATGGCGGTGATCGGCACCGTCGAGCG